GCAGACATTAAGTACAAAAACAATTTGATTGATGTGTTTTTAGTGGCAGACAGTAAGTACAAAAACAATTTGATTTATGTGTTTTTAGTGGCAGACATTAAGTACAAAAACAATTTGATTGATGTGTTTTTAGTGGCAGACATTAAGTACAAAAACAATTTGATTGATGTGTTTTTAGTGGCAGACAGTAAGTACAAAAACAATTTGATGTGTTTTTAGTGGCAGACATTAATTACAAATTTTTATTTTCAGTCTGTTATTTAGTTAGTACTGAAGATAAAATAATCTCACAATCACTGACAAGAAAGACTTGTTACTTTAGGAAAATTATGTTATTACTACTCATTCATTCTAAATATAAGTGTCAACCTGGATACTCGTAAAATAATATTATTTAGGCTATACAAAATATTTTACACACAACATAACACGAAACATGTTAGCTACAATACGATAAGTACTTCATACAACATGATGTGCACTTGAGATAACAATATGCACACTGAATATAACACAGAACATGTAATACACGCACGAGCACTGCAAACAGACGATGCACCCTGAGCATAACACAATGTTTTACATAACACGATAAGCATTTCACACAATGTGACACACTTCATGCAACATGATATACAATGACTGTTAAAAAAAGCATATTTTGAAAAACAAATTTCACAATAGATAAACAAGTTATTACTTTACCTAATAGATAAATGCCTAAAGATCACAAAAGTTGATTTTTGTCTGTTCTATAATAGCTATGGTTAAATATGGTTTTACAAAGACATACAGCAACAACTTACCTTATTTATCAACTAGCAGTCAAAGAGATCCTAACAAGTTGAAGACTACGGAATATAACCCACCTTGTTTATCAACTACCAAGTTTTTGTAAGAAAGCTAACTTTAAGGGGTAATGATAACATTGTTAACACTGAAATTAGAATCTTTTTTAAAATTCCTACTAGTTATTAATAATACATATAAAAGTGGATACTCTATTTCAAACTTTGTCATCTCGGTGAAATTGGTTGACACCACTGTTCTGGTTTTTGAGTTATATAATAAAAAAAAAGAAGCAGAAGAAAGAAACACAAGAAATTCAAACTTTTGGCTACGGTATTTACAGACATTCTCGGAACATATATATTGTTATAAAAGGAAGTACTGTATAATATTGAAAAGTTCTGACGACCTACTGAGGAGATATTTAAATATAATTTTGATGAACGATCAAGGTCATCCCTACATAGACAGCGCTGCCACCTGCCTGATAACCCACCTTTTTTATCAACTAACATTTGAAGAGTTCCTTGTAGTTTGAAGACTATAGGATATAACCCACCTTGTTAATCAACTAGTAGTCAAATAGTTACTGGTAAGTTGAAGACTACAGGATATAACCCACCTTTTTATCAACTAACATTTGAAGAGTTCCCTGTAGTTTAAAGACTACAGGATATAACCCTCCTTTTTTATCAACTAACATTTGAAGAGTTCCTTGTAGTTTGAAGACTACAGGATATAACCCACTTTTTTATCCACTAGTAGTTGAAGAGTTCCTAGTTGTTTGAAGACTATAGGATATAACCCACCTTGTTAATCAACTAGTAGTCAAATATTTACTAGTAAGTTGAAGACTATAGGATATAACCCACCTTGTTAATCAACTAGTAGTCAAATAGTTACTAGTAAGTTGAAGACTACAGGATATAACCAACCTTATTAATCAACTAGTAATCAAATATTTACTAGTAAGTTGAGGACTATAGGATATAACCAACCTTATTAATCAACTAGTAATCAAATATTTACTAATAAGTTGAAGACTATAGGATATAACCCACCTTGTTTATCAACTAACATTCGAAGAGTTCCTAGTAGTTTGAAGACTACAGGATATGTTTCTACTTTAGACATCTCCAGTAAGTTGTCTATAATTCCAAGCTCTACCAACACTGCCTTGTTCTCCACTGTTGAAATACATTTGTAATTAGTTAGCATAAAAACGAAGAACAAGGTATCCATACAAGATACAACACACTTTACTGCATTTATTTATCTATATATAAAAACCTCAAAATCTCTGTGTCTGTTTGTTTGTCTGTTATGTTCACTGCACAGGTCTCACTTCCCTCATGTGAAGGTATGAAAAATGACTAGTTTTCGTTGATATACGTGTCTATCAGAACCCTGACATAAAACAGGTTAGTAGTTTATTTGAAAAAATCAAACCAAAGGTGTTTTTTTTTCATAAATTCACAAAATATTTTTTTACCTATTGAAATATGGAACAAGGAAACAGAGAGAGAGTAGGTTTTCTTTTTCAAAACCCGGGCAACGCTGCTAGTACTCTATAAATTTAAGTGCTCAATCACTCAAAGGTTACATTCTTGAGTCAGGTATTTTGAGAATAATAATAATATACTTGGTTCTCTCCTTTAGAATCTTTGAATTTTGGTTAGATAACAGGTAAATGTCAAAAAATAATGTCACTTTTCTATCTATTCAGTTACTGTTAAGTCTATGTATTCAGTTACTGTTAAGTCTGTGAATTCAGTTACTGTTAAGTCTATGTATTCAGTTACTGTTAAGTCTGTGTATTCAGTTACTGTTAAGACTATGTATTCAGTTACTGTTAAGACTACGTATTCAGTTACTGTTAAGACTACGTATTCAGTTACTGTTAAGACTACGTATTCAGTTACTGTTAAGACTACGTATTCAGTTACTGTTAAGTCTGTGTATTCAGTTACTGTTAAACCTACATATTCAGTTACTGTTAAGTCTGTGTATTCAGTTACTGTTAAACCTACATATTCAGTTACTGTTAAGCCTACGTATTCCTTAACAGTAACTGAATATGTAGGTCTTAACAGTAACTGAATACATAGTCTTAACAGTAACTGAATACAAGTCTTAACAGTAACTGAATACATAGACTTAACAGTAACTGAATACATAGTCTTAACAGTAACTGAATACATAGTCTTAACAGTAACTGAATACATAGACTTAACAGTAACTGAATACACAGACTTA